TGGGAAATTCAGGAACACAAAAATAATTTACACAACGGACATTAAACGAGGAACACCAACGAAGACGCCAGCAATCAGCAGTCCCAACTACTGCACACATATTTAACTTAGTAGTTTTAACGATCACTATTATCTGAATAAATGGAAACGTTAGTTATTATTTAAAATAATATCAATATAAGGACAAAAATAGTTAACACCTCTTTGCCTACATACTTTCCTTTTAGTTCCAGATGCGAACTGTCACCTCGCTGTCCGGACAAGGCACTATTTTTTTTAAATTATTTAATACTAGAGTTCAACTTTGAATTGCTTATCATTATTTACCCTCTCTTTCATTCTAATAACGGGAAAACTATCATAATTCGAAAATAGCGTCACTTATTCAAATGCAAGACCTATTCTAATTACACCGATCTACAGTGATTTTGATGTTTGAAAACTGTATGCTTATTTGCATATTTTTGAGGGACCTTTTTTTAAAAAACGCAATATTTTTGCTCGATCACGTAATTTTTTTATAGCGCTCCATATCTTAAAAATGTTATTTAATTAATGACGTGAATATGTTCCTTTCATGTTAGGCATGATTTTTAAATGAACTGATTTTTATGAAATTAAATGTGAATTGGCAACACTGAATAATATTAGATTTTTCTGCAAAGCAGCAGAGAGCGCAGAAACGTCAATATAGCGTTGTAATCTGTTTATGCTCAGGTTGTTATCTTCGATGTTGATGATGTTTCTATTGTTGCAGAACATATAAATATGGAAAGAAGACATTGTGTGAACAATCAAAATAACTTCTGTTATATCTGTGGTAGTTAAGTCGTAGTAAAGCAAAGGCAAGCTATAACTTCTTTTGTTAATAATGAATACCGCGCTAGTTTTGGTGTAAAAGACACTCTATCTGGATCTGGATTCCTCCTGCGTTGGTTTTTGTTGACTCAAACTAGCTAACGTTTCGCCAATGATCCTGTTGGCTTCTTCAGAGCTTGACTGAAACTGAATTGACTGGCGCATGCGCATAGTGGATAACCTTCCTCGGGATTGTATGATGTTGGTTTCATCTATGATAAGACTACTGGTAGATGTTAAAACGGGATATGCCCTTAAAAACACACGGCCGAATGTCCGGACAACGCAGCTTTCTGGCAATAAGACGAAGATTTCACTGAAAAAAGTTTGAGAAAAGTTTTTTATTCACCTCTTTTCGCGTTTTTACAGAACAAAAAAATATTTTTTTATATATATCTTTTTTTTTTTAATATTTGCAAAAATCCTTCTATAAAATCAGTTTTCAAAATAAAAATATCTGTCAAAAAGGTTAATTTTGCAGACCTGTGTTAGCAAAGTCCGCGTCTATAATAGAACCTTTCGTACGTTGTCTCGAATATTAAACACATTTGAACGAATCCCTAAACCTCGGGAATTTCTTATCACTGTTAGGGGCGCGCATTCGAGATCCCTCGCCACTGTTATTGTGCACGCAGCGCTGCACACGACTTAAAGCCCGCTTTATTTATTATTTATTTTCAACGTCCGTATTCGAACGTACATTTGCGACAAAGGTACGTTTTAAGATCCGCCAACGGAACAAATAAAAAGAGCATTCTCCGCGGATGAAAGATTTCGCGACCTGAAGTTTTGTCGTTTGAGTTCCGCTTTGCCCTTCCGAAAATCGCAATTAGACGTGCGGAAAGGCACCGAACGCCCTTTTGATTTTCTGACGTATACGTGGAACGTAGAGAAGATTACCTTGCAGAAAAGCTTTTCACTTCACTTTTGTAAGCGGCCTTAACCGCAGTCGGAGCACGTCCTTAAGAGGTGCTTATTTTTCGGATTCCTGTCCATAGCAAATACAATTTTGGTCACCTCTTCGATGACGATGATGCTTATCAAAACAGGAAAAATAATGATGTTAGGGAGTTCACTAATCGTGCCATTTCGAAGGGAGTCAAAAATCACCAAGTTTTGAAATCGCCTTTCAGGAAACGATGCATTTCGAAGTGTGATATTCGGCTATGGTGGTTCCTGTAGGACAACATCTAAGATATGGGAGCAATGAAAAACCAAACAAACAATTAGTTGATGGCAGTCACGTGTCATTGAATAGACCGTTAAAAGATATAAATGAACTCATGGACTTTCCTGATACTGCTGCTAAAGGCATATAATTGTTGAGTTCATATCTACAACAAAAACAGAAGGATTTGTGGCAGTTTGACTTCTTGGACGACACTTAGATTTTCTAAAATGGTACTATTAATAGGGAACCAAAAAAAAATTGATAGCAAAAGAAAATTATTAATGAGTTGTATTGGAAGTGCGAATGAAATGCTCTTTTTAAAGTCTTTAATTAATCAGGGAAACCTTCTGTGTTGGTTCAAGTTGGTTCAGGGAAGTAATGAACGAAAATTAGAGTCTTTCACTTATGTTGACGAAGACTCTAGTGATTCAGAGATTCCTTCCTTACTGACATATTTTAAATATTTTACAAGTGTTCAAATATACATTATAATAATAATTAGTAATATTTATTTAGCGATACTGAGTTTTTAATAAATATCTGCAAAATGAAACATTGTTCATATTGTAAGTAACAAATGTGAACATGTTTAATATTCAAAATGTCCGGATTAAAGTAAAATATTGGTCACATGGGTGATGACGTGACTAAAAGTTTGTTTAGTATAACCTTAGATGCTTACCCTGTTTGGTGAAATTAAAGCGCTTATTTAGCGAAGTTCAATCTTTGAACTAAGTAGTTGTGATGCATTTTAACTATTTTAATAAATGAGTTAGTACTATTACTATCAGGCTGGCAACAACCCAACGTTGTTATATTATCAGAATATATTGATTTTAATATACGCTGAAAAAAATATTTGGACTATTAATTTGGCACACATTACACCGTAAACAATCTAACAAAAGAACAATCACAGTTCATACAATAGTAACAAAAGTATCAAATAAGAGTGTTGGATACCACAAGTTAAATGAATAAGAAATACTAAACAAATAGAATGCACTTTTACAAATTAATTTTTGGAGATTCAATTTATGATAGTCGCAATGGGCATGTTAAAAATTAATCGAGGACCCTTTGTGGTTTTGATGGACCAAATAGTAAGTCCCATTAAACGATTTTTTCATATTTGAACTTATTACACGCTATGCCTGGTTAATGGTGAAAGATCCAGTTGTACGACAATTATTGCATACTAAGTCTTGAAGCAATTTTTCCGGAATACCAATACCCTCGACCATGAGATTCATTCGTAAAAACGAAAACTGTCATTTGTATGACATGAAATAAATTTGTGCGCATTATTTAGTAACACAAAGTAAATAACTACCTTGGTATTCTTTATTTATTAATTTAGTTAACTCAGAACTTTTTCTTTTTGTAATCTCATATTTTTATTAATGGTCTAATTAATGGCATATCGAGTATGTCTTCTTATATGCGCTTTCAACTCAGACCAAATCGTCTCAATCGGGTTAAATATACAGGGGTAATCTCAAGATTTCATGACCGTTTTGTTGTGTTGTCGAATCGATTTTGTAGTCTCTATTAAAATGTTTTATTTTTAACAATTCCAGAAGTAGTTTTTTCGTCTGGCTCTCTTCAAAATATAAATCATTGTCGTACAGAAATTCTTTAGTTCCTTCTTTATTTGGAATTTTTCTAGTTTGAGCTGAATGATAGGAGGCATTATCCAACACAGTAACAGTATTTGACGATAGTTTTGGCAACAGTTTATTTTCAAACCAGCACTGAAATATTTCTGGGGTCATTTTTTCATTGTAATCCACAATTGAATCTTTTGACGTTTTTGGCAGGCAAAAATGAGGCATCTTCCACAAAACCATTTTTGGACCCAGCATGAAGAATTATTATGCGTTTTCTATGTGGAGGCGACACGTCTAGTACACACTTGTTACTGTTATAACGCCATCCTTTTTTTACTGTGTCGTGAGTGTCGAACCACTTCCAGTCTATTGGCCTATTTTGGTATCGAAATTCAAATAATCCACCCTTCATTGCGAAATTCTTTGAGATTCCATTAGCACTTGACGTTTATTAATTGTGTGAAACTGAAAATCCATTTTCTTCAAAAAAGTACGCAACGACTCTTCACTCACTTCACTTCACTTCACTTTATAAGCGTCGTATATTATAGGACTGATTACATCTGCGTCTTGCTCTTTAAAAACTCGCGAAGTACCAGCATCTTCTCTCACTTTCCTCTTGATTATTCCGTTTGCAACAATTTTTATTACAGATGACTTCGGAACTTTGGTCATGTCACTTGTTATTATTGCTGCTCCTGCTTCACATTCTGAATTTCTTATAAAATTCTAAAATTCAAAACAATTTGTTTAGAATCCGATGAATTAGTTTTTTATTTGCCGAGGTAGTTCGTCTCCCAAAATTGTCATTAGGTTCCACTATAATCTCCACAGGAACCTTCAAAAAATGTTTAATTGTAAGATTCTAATAAATATTCATCTGTTTTGGTTAGTTTTGGTTAGTTTATCTACCGCGAACATAATCTATAGCCTTAAAATCGAAGAACTATGTAGAAGACATAAAAATACAAGAAGAAGAATGTTGCTAATCGATAGACACAAAAGACAATTTACCTTACAATTTGAATCATCCAATGAAAACAGCCTCGCATGGTCAAAGCTCGAGAATCAGGTGCATAAATACGGACATACTGAAAGGATCACAGTCAAATAGCTCCGTACGAATTATGTCCGAAAATAAAACTAATGAAAGAACGTAAATGCCTCAATCTCCAATAAAACAGTAGGAAAAAGTTCGAGATCACTGAATCTTTGGTTAGTAGTTAAGTATGAGCATGCAAATCAAGAATTTTTGGAAAAGCGGACGTCTTTAAAAATATTTTATGGTGAAGTTTAAGTGACGCCGTGTCCATCTCTGTAATTAATGACAATAAACAGTTTCCCGCGAGTTGTAAACTTACCTATAACTCTCCGCCGAGGTCGAAAGTGCTTCAGTTTCGTTATCGAATTCGCGCTAACGTCTACTTTTAAAAATTGATTGTCACGTCCGTTAAAAATATTGCTTTTTCGATCACAACCGCGTTTATTTTAGAATAGGGTAAAGTCTGCCACGTTCGGCGGTCGACAGAAGGAAGCGCGTTAACGCGAAATGAAACCGGACGCCTTGACGATTTTCCGGTCAAGGGCAGTCGGGAACCCGGATTCGTTATCGACGAAAATCGGTTAATTCGCAAACGCCGTCGATATTTATCACTTAACGTCTCACTAATTCTACCCGAAAATTATTGTTAAGGAGTCAGTCCGTCGTTTCTAGGCCCCCTCGATTGTCAATTCGAGTGGCTGTTTTAAGGTTTGCGAGGTTAGAAAATTATCGCGGGACGGGAACGGCGTTGTCCGCCACTAGATGGCGCCACCGTCTGTTCAGATGGGTCAACTGTTGCGAATATCGATCGTTGCGGGGCAAAACCGGGGAAGTTTGCGCGGTTTTTCGTATTCCGAAGATTTCGATTCTTCTATCACCGCGCTGATAGAGGTTGACGCGTGCTTGGAGTCGCCGCGGGGAAGCGAAATTTAACCGTTTTGTATGCTTTCGGGTCGACGCGACGTTTAGACGTTTTAGCAAGACCGGATGGAGGCATATGATTAAATTTCAGTGTCGCAGTGTTGCCGCTTTTATCTAAAAGTAGCAACTAATTTGTAATGCGAAGAAAAATTTGAGAGGGTAGTTTATTGTTTAAAATAGAAGGTCATATACACGCAATAAAATTTAGATTTAAAATCAAATGGCTCTTATCAGATTGAAAAAGCTCTAAATGTTCTATATTGCTTCCCTTCTAACGCATTGAAGTTTGAAAATAAAGGGACATGAAAAATCTTAAAGCCACCTTCATAATAGGGAACGTGCCCATTTTTTTTTATTAATATGTGTTTATATATGAAAACGTATTGTACCAAATATGAATCTTTAAATCACAATAATTATTTTACAGTAAATAGTTGCAATCTCCGCCGAGCCCATTCAAACAAAGCAAAGTTCACGGCAGCGGGTGTGGCGTCACACCGCAGGAAAGTACACTGCACGTTATGAGTATAACAGAAATTTCAAGCATTTCTCATTGACGTTTTGATTTTTAAATGTTTAATGTTCAATTTTTGTATTTGTTATGGAAACTACCCATTAATTTTTTTTTTGTACGAGTTCCACTGTCAGAGAAAAATCCATATATATTTTTCTGAAAATTTTAATCTGCAATAAATATATGGCGTAATTTTAATTTTACAGTTTTTTTCTTAAATTCAATTTTCATTAGCCTTAAAATCTAAAAAGAATCAAAAATTTTTATAATTTTGATTGATTTGAATAACCAAACATCACTAAAATCAAAAACAAATACTATATTAAAATAAAGTACAAACGATTTTATATTGCGACAGCAAAAATCTCTAATACAAATAGAACGACGCCCACGCAAATTCACATTTAAATCAGGAACTACAGTTACCATTTCCGCATAAAGAAATTTCGGAAAAAGAAATATTTTTCTATGGTTGTTTCGAGTTATGAAAAATTTCATGACTATTTCAACAATTAACCAAAAACCCACCAAAATGGAAGTAGTTGTTCAACTGAAGTTCTGATGGGTTTTATTATATTCATAGATTTGATAACATTGATTTAAATGACAAAAAAAAATTGCAAATCATTTCGTTTCTGTTGTGGAAGCAGAAATCCCTAATAAAAATAGACCCATGCAAATTCAGTTTTTCATTAATCGACATTCGAATAGAGTTTTTTAGAAGGGAATGTGCACATCCACCTACGCACCCCCACATACGTATTGCTGGTATTATTTTTAGTACAATCAATATGCGGGCAGCGTTTTTTTGAATTTTCCTCTTTGTTTCCAATTATTGGAGACGCTGCACGCAGAGACATTCAGTTATTTTTTGTACTTGTAACTTCTAATGCATTTTTGAATTTTCGCCTGTTTTTTTCACATTTTTTAAAACTTCTATTTAATTCAAATCTAAATATACAATAAAATATTAGCCGTAGAAGAAATAATAATAATGCAATATCTATTTCCAACGGTTAAAACTTTTCTTGGACTTTGAACTATTTCGAATCTGCAATTTCACCAATAAGAATTTCGCACTTTTTCCCTTCTGTGAGAGTACAATGGTATCGCAAAGTTTTAATTGTCTAGCACATCTTTATGTATGTATCAAATGTTCAGTTCATAATCAAGGCTTTACCCTATTTTTTCACAACTTTAATACGACTAACATCACTCATATCTAGTTTTATTTTGAAATTCTCTCGTCCAAAAATGACAAACTTCGTTTTAGAGTTATTAAGTAATAATCTCACAGCAGTGGAAGTTTTACTAATCACAGTACAGTTTGAAGAAAATTAGTAATTTACGTACCGTCAGCGTCAGCATTGAACAGTCTTTAATTCATTTCAAAAAGTCTAAGGTATATAAAGAGAAAACCAACTGCGAAACTTCAATACATCAACTACTAATATTTCAGAGTTTTCCAAAAATTGTTTCATATGTAAAACTGAGGTGAGCTTTCTTTTCTGAATTTACAGCCACGTTTACCAAATATCGAAGGGTTCCATATTCATCCTTGGAAATTTCAGTTTTGTGTTTCTTGAACTTTGTCATTTCGAAGTTTCATCACCATTTTTAAATTTTCAGTAAGCCATGGTAAGCTTATTGGTTGAATGCTTTCCAAACAAATGCAAGACTTTTGTGCTGAAAAAATCAACCATTTGTATGTGCAATTCCTGTAAGTAAAATGGCGATGTTACTCTTGTGGCTTGTAGAGAATTAAATAATTGTGAGACAGGACTATTAATCGCCATAAGATCAATATTAAATTCACAACGAAATACGATATATTCAAATTCAGACAATCGAGCAATTAAGCTTCTCTTGAGGCCTACTATGTCAAAAGCGCTCTCTATAATGTTATCACAGAATAGATGAAACCCGGTAAAAATTGACCTAACATAAAAATCACAAAATTCAATACAAGAATTAGGCATGAGTTTACCAAGCCCGACACATCTGGTTCAATTGCTATTTAAAAATACAGAAGAACAGGAATGGACTGTACCTTTTACTCAAATCTGTATTATTGATATCTGTTTTAGTCGTTTCAAACACTAAAAACTTAAAGTAGTCCATCGGATAAAACTCTGCAATAACCACACGTTTTATCCTCACTGCAAGGGTACCTCTTTCAGCAAAGGGGGTAGTTCCTCTTCGAGAAATTGTAAATACATTTCCCCATTAAGCGATCCGTTAAAGAAATCTTCTATAATTCCTGCCTTTTTCCTAAAATTTGTTTGCATAAAATTACTGTTAATTACTCGGAATCATCATACAACATACAGAACTATATTTTGAGTGATAATTGCTTCTGGCAGGTTCATTTTCGTAATGGGGCAGTTTTCCTTTCCGATGTCATCAAATAATGTCTCAACGCATACATCTCGGGGCGAGTTTCGTCTTTACAAAAGTAGATTTCTTCGATGACGGGACATATTTCTTCGATGAATTGTCTCTTCTTCTGTATTCGGGTATAAAAATTGATTGATTTTGGATTAGTGGGAAAATATGGTAAAAGGAAAATAGTTCGGATCATAAAATTGGTACATGGACTGCAAAGATCACTTTCGAGTCAACAAAATTTAGCTGAGTCCCAAAATTTGATAAGAAGATAAAATGCTTTTAAATTGTGGTATTTGATTTTCTTTCTCATTTTCTTAACCTAATCGCGTGAAATGTGAGCCCTAAACTATCCCTTCAAGTGACTTTATACAGAGGTATCGGAGGAGCAAAAGAAGATGGCACTTACGGTTTCGTATTTCTCCGTCTCCTTTCTGGCTCAATTTTCCAACTCGTTACATACGGGTTGTACCTTTGTAGATTGTCGTTCTGCTTCCCTTGCTGCTGGTTCTGCTTGCTGAAGGATTTGAAAATCCACGTAGCGAACGTCCAAAAGTTTCGAACTTTCCACGATTGGTGATTTTTCAGAAACTCCCAGAAGATTCTGGTTAATTGTCCACCACTACTGCACTGAGAAAATCCGTTCCGACTGCGCCACTTAAATGTTCAAAATTCGGAGAAGCGTTTTCAAAAACATTTATTACACAGAAAGCCGATACAAAGACTGGAATAATTAAGAACAATTTTACAATATGATAATCGCTTTCGATGAGATGTCAGCGATGCGTTATCTTCGCTTAGCTTTGGGCTTCATAAAAAACAATAAAACAGTAAAAACAAAAAAAACATAAATAATAAACTAAGAACACATGAGACGAAAAACAAAAAACTGAAAAAAAAGCTACACTTAACTTTCACAGATTCTCAATAAAGCAGACAAAAACTTTGTTTTTTGGACTTTTCCTCCCGTAGATAATGCCTTGTGTGCAATTTTTTTCTTCGTATCGCCCAATAAAAGGTATTTTGCGTGAGATCTTTATTTTTCACTAGACTTGCCAGCTCGAAAAGCTGTATCAATGTCAAGTGTCAAATAATAAAGCAAAACAAGATTACCGAGTTTAATGAGTTTAAGCGATATACGTTTTTTTTGGTCAATTGACTATCAAAATCATTTTATACAACCGAGAGTAGGATAAAAATTCCTACGCTCATTGGTGGAAATGTTGTTGAGAAGTGTGGCAACATAGAATTCTACCTACCTGTTTTATTTTAATTCCAAAATTTTAAGATTACGGTTCCTGAGACATTTTTACGGAATAGAAATCTCTGGGGGGCGAATATAGTATATTATGCAACAAGTGCGGTAAACGGCATTTGACACCAGCGGAGCCAGTGTTTAATAAACGAGTGACTTAAAAAGTTTATCGAACGTGTTGCATACTATACTTTGTCTAGGACGGTTAGTTTTTGGGTATATTTTCGCAAAACAACAAGAATACATTCACTCACATGACCGTCAGAATTGATAAACGTCAAACTTCAAAGCGTGGGAAATATCCGAGTGGCTCCGATCCATGGGAAACGAAGTGACGTGGTAAAGTGACGCTTCCGCACGCTAGATCGGTGCGTAATTAGGTACTTTACAGACGGGAGTAGAAAAAAGTTTTTCTACTCCCGTTCCGCTCGTGCCAAATAAACTCGTAAGTCAAATGCCGTTTACCGCACTTATTTTAGTATTTTCCATTCCCTTCTGTAAATTATCTAATTACACACCGGGAATAATCGCTTATATATCAGTTTCGTTTCCCACGGATCCGAGCCACTTCGGAAATTTTCGGGATTTTACGGCACGGATTTGGGGGAATCGGAGTTTTTCGGATATTTTACAGCACGGTTTGAATTTTGACGTTTGTCAATTCTGACGCTCATATCAGTGAATGTATTCGTGTTGTTTTACAAAAGTGTTCCCAAAAATTTAAATACTACGTGCTATATGTTACAATTAAAATCTAGTCGATTAGTCGGTAAGTAAAGTGACTTTCATAATTTAAGTTTCCCGCATAAATTTTACATTTGCATTTTGCATTTTAGTGGTTTTTGAAGTTATTATATTAATATCATGCCAAAAACCTGCTTTTTCTTGCTTATACCATCTTAAAAAATAAATCCTCTTAAAAGCTCTATCCTTCGATGATTTTTCTTCCAATTACAGTCCACTCGTTTATTAAGCACTCGCTCCGCTCGTGTCAAATAAACTCGGGGGTCAAATGCCGTTTACAACACTTGTCGCATAATATACTATTTTCCCTTTTATTTGTATTATTTTCTGTAGGGAATAGAATAATAAAACAGCGATGTTAATCCTAACATGTACTTTATTAGTTTTTACAAAAATCAGGTAGCGTTTGTTTTCCCATTCAAGATTTGGCGTCAAGAATTCGGGTCGGTTCCGAAGATACCGAAAATTATTCTTGCCGCTTGTATCCGAACCTATTTAACAGTATTATTACAATTAACGATATATAAGACACGTTGAATGCCTCTAACAAACGGATCTACAAAAATAACGTGTTCAGAACAAATTGTTATTCTAAATATTTAATGCAAATTTGGGTAAATAATTAACAGAGAAGGGGGATCTACAAATTACCTCCCAGCCCCGGTCCGTTGTGACACATTTCAGATATTCGTCGGATACACGCGGTCCCCCCAGTTCCCCCCGTTCACAAAATATATAAATATTGTTACGTATAAATAACGATAACCTTTTTAAAAGGAATTTGTGCTCTAACAGAGGCCTTAAGAAACCATTAACGTAGAAAAATGTCGATAAAACTGAACCTAGTCGCGTTGCGGGACGTATACTGTATATACATGATCAAAAATATTGCTAAAAATACAATTTGGTAACTAGTACTGGAATATAAAATTGTGTGAATATTTGAAATTGATAAGAGTTCGTTATGTACAATCGATTAATTAGATTAAGGGAAATTACGGGAAAATAACTGTTTGATTTGGCATTCTAGATATTGCAACATTTACTAAATCATGACAAAAGGTTTACTTAAGCTGCACCAATACCATAAAGTAAGTGACAACTGCACCAAGTACCTGAAAAATGAGAAATAGCGATAATACAAAAAAAGAAAGTAATTAAAATGCTTCTGCTTTCAAGAATATCCTTTTAGTAATTTCTGTCTTTTTAGAAAAAAGAGCATTAGGCATAGTTTCATCAACACTCGTTTCTTGATTTTCACGAACGGTATCTCAAATACAAGGCGTTGAATTTATTGAATAATGACCATTTTTATTTATAAATAATTTGCCCCATATTATGTTTAAATATATTTGTACACACTTTTCATGTAAAGTTTGTTAATAACAAGCTCATACTAAAAAAAGGAGTCTTGTGCATTATTACCTTCCCAAATTTTCTCGGTATACGCCTACAGTCTTAAAATGTTTTACTTCTTACTTTGTATTTTTCTTACTTGTTTGTTTCGGAGATATTCTACATTAATTAATAAATGTTCTGTATTTTCTGAAAAATATTTAGTTTCTGTTAAAATTTTACAGCCATCTAAAGCAACCTAAAAAATTCACCGTCTGCACTAGTATTCATCGCAGAAATAGAATTTGGCAAAAGACGCATAAACAGAAACCGGGAATATAAAAAATATTAAAAAGTGAAGGGCACAGATGAGATCCCTAGGGGACACCCGAGGTAACATTTGCTCAACCAGAGTTTTTACCATTGACAACAACAAACTGAGTTGTTTTTGTAATATAGCTTTGCAATACTTGGAAGAGGTCGTCATGCACTCCGAAATTTCCCTGTTTTATTATTAGAGCTGGATGAGGTACATTTTCAAAAGCCTTGGAAAAATCGGTATACACAGAGCACGTCTCAAAACCATTATGCATGGAAAAATTAATGTCATGGACGTGGATGTGTAAGAACTGAACGGATTTGAGCCTCAAAATCCTTGGCAAAGTGACATAAGAGAGAGATAGAACGATAATTAGCGGTGTATGTAGAAGCACCAGACTTTAAAATGTGGACTACCTGGGTCACTTTCCAGCTTTTTCGAAACGTTCCTTGACGTACACAAAAGTGGGCAATTTTTGTGAAATTGTGCTGGTATATCGTCCGGCCCTGGGCCCTTTTTAGGATTCAAGTTGAGCAATATTGTTTCAATAGAATTTTCCGAAAATCCAGATATGACGATACTATCCCTAGGTTCACACTACTAAAATAGTCACATAAAGTTGAGACTTATTTTAAAAATCATTTGTTGTATTGTAGGTTATTTTATCAGGCAGTGATTTTGTATTTTTTTTATTATTAAGAAATGACCAAAAATGTTTTGTATCGGTTTTCAGATTTTTTCAGTTTTTGCAATATATGATATATTCCGTCATCGTAAATTCGTCATCATAATTGAACACGAGAGAAAAAATTATCCAAAGTAAAGTGAAATAAGCGAAACAAGTTTTAGGACCATAGGCGTACATCCAGAAAATTTCGACAGGTACTAGGTAATACAGTACAAGGCACCCCTTTTTTGCTCCCAAAATTTAAGTGCGTTTTTAATGTATTGTTACATATTAAAGTGTTTTTTATTTTGTCTGTATGTGTTTGTCTTTTTTGAACTCAGAAATTGTTAACGAACACTAGGTATATAATTATGCGTCCTTTTTTTTGTTCAATTACGACAGATTGTAGCCCAAACGTCCCATAAACATAGGGAATGTCAATTTACAATAACGCTAGATTGTTTACATAATAAAAAGGGACAAGTAGTTCATGCAGCTTAGACAGATGTCGGTAAATGAAATTATTTTCTTTTCCACAAACTTTATGTCAATCAATCGATTTCTTTGGGGTGTGAGGTCATAAAAGCAAAAATTACATCGCAATTTTGAAAATCAATGACCGATATATAAAAGGGCATATTGAGCTACAAGTTGTTGTTGATGCCACCGAAGCTTGCAACTTCTTCTATACTAAGACAGCTTTATTAGTGACCGAGAAGACAGAATATTAGCATATTTTTAGAATTTATGTTCCAATTGCACGCAAAACATAGGGAAGTACATCGACAGAAAAAAGTTTCATAAACGTTGGAATTATGCAAGATATAATTCTTGTGACGTCATATAGGTACTGTTCCACAAACTGAAGAAAATTGATGAAATTTGATATATTTATCAAGTTTTGTTTCAAACCCTTAAGCTTTTTGTATGATATACTTCTCTTCAACTTACTGAAGCGAAAAGATCGAGGGAAATCGTAAAAAATTTTGCACCCGATATACACAGCGCTTTTTGACACTGCTGGCACACGATCTGTACGAACGTCTTAGCCTCCTCCGAGCCGTCATACCAATGACAACTGTACGCGGCTTCCATCACCGATGAACTCTGCAAACGTCAAAAGTTTAAATTAAAAATGAGGCTATTAGCGTTGGGATTAGAGACGTACCTCTTCTATGAGCCTGTTTCCGAATATACAAAAGTGGAACACCTGTAATAGGGAATACCCTAGATAACCTAGCGTGGTCGCAGCGTATACGTTTACGCCATTTATCTAAAAATTTCTTCCATAAAAACCTGGGGAGGTGCTGCAATTTAAGTTACCTTGGTGGCTTCGTAAGCCAAGAGAGTGAGCATAATGGTGGCTGTTAACATGTGTAGCAGGAGAGCCACGCCGTAAGCGTCGCCTATAGCCGTGACCAACCTGCAAGTAAGGCAGAATTGAAAGTCCCTGGACATGAACTGGTTTGAACTAGGTATTGTACGACCAAAAATATAGTGCATTTATTGCATTGACGTTTTAAGTATTTTACAGTACAAAATAGATAAGAACTAAAAGTTCGGATTTTCACAAAATTACATATTTTCACATGACAATTGTTCCGACAACACCGTGTCTTTATCAAATGTAATCTTTACAAACTACCTGCTACTATATATACCGAAAAATGACAATAAAACCTTAATTAATTTTGTTATAAAAATTTAAGTTCAATAAATGAGAGATATTTAATAGTATATTATGCAACGAGTGCGGTAAACGGCATTTGACCCACAAGTTTATTTGACACGAACGGAGCGAGTTTTTAATAAACGAGTGAGTTAAAAAGTTTACCGAACGTGTTGCACACTATACTTTTTCTACGACCGTTAGTTTTTGGTTACATTATCGCAAAACAACACAAATACATTCACTGACATGACCGTTACAATTGACAAACGTCAAATTCAAACCGTGAGGCAAAATATCCCAAAACTTCCGATTCCCCCAAAACCCGTGCGGTGAAATCCCAAAAATATCCCAAGTGGCTCGGATCCGTGGGAAACGAAACTGACGTGGTAAAGTGACGCTTCTCGCACGTTATATCGGTGTATGATTAGGTATTTTACAGACGGGAGTAGAAAAAAGGATTTATTAAAATAATATAAATAAAATATTGAAATCTAATTCATCGTTAAGCAATACATTTTTGTTTATCTCCATGGCTTCCAATAAATTTCATTTTCTACTTTTTGTGGCTGTATGTAAAATATCAAAATTGTCGTCAAAAATGTTTTTTCATGTGTTTAAGTGTGTGGACTGTAGACTAGTGTTTTTAAATGTTCTTTTATGTTGATTAATGCGTTTCTTGAAAGATCTACCTGTTTGTTCAATATAAATTTTAGGACAAGATCCGCATTTCAACCTGTAGACACCTGATTTTTGAGATTTTGGACATTTCATTATATTGTTTTTTAAAAATTTTCCTATTGCGTTGTTACAAATGTTTTGAAACTTTTTCACTGAGTTCTCCTATGTATGTAATGGTTTTAAATTGTTCGTGTTCTGTATTAGGTTTCGGATAAATAGAGTTCACTGTTGTCTGGATTTGTTTTTTATTTAAAATTTTATCTATAATGGACGGATTCTAGCCGTTGTTCAGTGCAATTTGTTTAATGATATTAAGTTCTTTGTTGTAATTTTCTGTTGCATTTTTTTTTATTGAGAGTCGCGTATTAAGAAGGCTGTGTATAAAAGAGTGAAATGCAGCCATTTTGTGTGTATAAGGGTGATTTGAGCTGTTATCTATGACTAATGACTAATTTATTTTGCGTTTTCGTAATAGTTGAGTAAGTCTAAAAAATTAATAGAGTTATCCTGTTTGATTTCGATAGTGAATTTTATACGATTATGTAATGAGTTCATGTAATTTAAAGAAGAATTCAATTGTCTGTCCGTTTTGCCAAAGCAAGCAAAGACATCATCCACGTATCTATACCACCATAGAAAACTTTTATTTAAAGAATGTTCCAGTATGATATTTTCCAAATTATCCATAAAAATTCGGCTAATAAAGGACTAAGTGGGTTTCCCATAATCAAACCTTCCTTAGAGATGTAAATCTGTCCATTAAATTCAAAATAATTTTGGTCTAAAGATACTATGTAATAAATCTTGTTTTAGCAATGGGCTAACCTGTTTCCCACTTAGGGTGAAATTTACTAAATATATCACATCCATAGGTGGAATACTGAGAAATAAGTTTTGTACATCAAAAGATTATAGATTATAGATTAATCCAAAAGAAATTTTTATTGCAAATTTTGGTTTAAAATCTGTGTTGAACTTTAAAATGTTTGATACATTGGAAAAGTTCTGGTTTAAGAAAATTGTTGGTTTTTGAAATATATTCTGGGAGATCGATAGCAATGACTGTCTTCCCTTTGTCTACACCTGTAAATATTATGTTATTTTCAGAAGCTTTGATTTTGATAGTTTTTACTAGTGACATTTGAGAAATTTCCTGGTGTTTGTTGTTATCTATTAATTGAGAGTTTATTATATTCGCTAATACATGTTTGTTTAAATTAGAATCGTTAATGTCCTTACTTGCTAATTCACAATCGATCCCTAAACATTCTAATTCTCTATTAATGTACGAGTGCTGTAAGTTAAAGTTGAAACCTTTTCCCAGAAATTTAACTTCATTTTTAAAAAACATTGCAAATACTTCTTCAAGTAAAGAAGGAATTTAAGAATTTCTGTACGAAAATAAATTATATTTTGAAGGGAACTACAAGGAAAAACAACTTCTGGAATTATTAAATTACAAAATCGTTTCTGTAGTATAACAAAACGAACATGAAACTTTGAGTTTACTCCCGTATCAATCTATATTTAGCCCGATTGAGATGATTTGGTCTGAGTTGAAACCGCATATGAGAAGAAATAACACTGCACCAAAACTTAGTTATAGTACCATAAACGCAATTCGGTAAGAACTACCTAAAATATCAGTACAAAGCTGGTCTGATTTTTGATACTTTATTATTATTATGTTTAATATTTTGTATGTTAATAATGAAACTATGCAGACATGTAATGAAATAGAACGTAATAAATTGTTGCTTTGTACAATTTTCTAAATGTATATGTTTCAAGAATTGCTCGGAGAAAAAGATTGAAAACATGTGCGGGAAGGGTTAAGGGCCTGCTCAGCAAGGTATTCTACAAGGGGCTGCGGTTTTAGAGTTAAAGTTAAAGTTAACACGGGGTATTTTGTAAAAGCACTATACTTCTGGTCCAAGGATACCAGTTTATTTATTTTAAAATCCCTAAAAAAAACGAAGGAAGTCCTATACCATTGTTAATGTTTCATTCAATTCGTTAACAGGGAAATGCGCCCCTTAAAACAAATAAATGCACATGCCCGCACGGGACCGCAGGCTTATACGGGATGAACATGTTCGATTTAAATTTGTAGGACAGTTTCTCAAAACTAAATTATTTACGAGGCCATCAGATAATTTATCGCGGAGCCTCCGACCCAGTTAACAAATTTTCCATTTAATTTATTCATCGCAGATGTTTTCCGCCGCAACGACGACGCTCGTATCTCGCAGTGTACCATTCGGAATCGATTTTCCATTACCGATTAATTTGTAATTTCGTCATCAACGCTGCGAAATGCTTGGGATTGCACTAAATTAAAAATTAGAAAAAAAAGAAAAGAGATGTTTTTTTCACTAGCGTTAAGGTTTTATTATTAAAGAAAGATCTTTTTTTAAAATCTGTTGTTCCTTCAAATTTACTTATCGGGGTCAGAATGACATTTATAACCAACAATTATAATTTGTCCACTGCAACAATAATACATTCTATAAGCAACCTGTACAGGGTAATAGCTGTAGGCTACATTTTCTTTCTTTTCGTATATATTTCCTCAATATGCCCTTATATCAGAGCCCTTTAAACTCTAAAAATATAGGTATAACATATTATTTATTATTAATTTTGACATCTTTATTAAACCATTTGACAGAAACACAGTTGTTAAACTGTTTAGTAACTACTTTTTACATAACTTGTGGATTCCTCCTGTGTCGGTTTTGTAAAAAGTGTTACAGCAGTTTGTGGAAGTTTCTTTGAAAAATTGTTGCTACTATATAGACATAAAACAATAATTAAATTATAAAGATAAGGATAGCTTTATTTCCACAAGACTTGATTTCCAAAACTTTTATGCAAATCGCATTCTCCATCACGTACTTAAATCAAGGATGTTAAATCTAGAAAATATTATTCAGTATTTTTAAAATTCTACCTTCGTTTTAAATAAAGTTTTTTGGAGACACCCTGATTCATTGCCAATATCAGAAAAGAAAATAAAAAAGTCTGAAGTGATAAATAAATTCGTTTAAATGACATGGATTTCCGTATATTCGGGTCTTGCCACATCTGCATTTTAAATTTTAATATGAAGAGTTGAGAATTTCAAATTTTCCATTTTTAGAAAACACCGTAATTGCTTCATTAAGTCGCCGAAAGAGTAATAGTTATAATTACAATTAAACAAAATTTTGGTTGCTTGTACTTTGTGTCTAAGCAAAAATAAGCATTATGTGTTGCAGATTTTCGAAATCCGTGATTAAAGAGCTCTCACATAAGGGACATTGCATTTCAGAAGAAAAAAAAAACATTTTTACCTGAGGAAGGCGGAATTGGGTCCTAAGGGGAAAGTTATATAAGAGGCAGTTTTCAGATTTTCGATAAGTTATCTGGTAGTTGTGTAGTAGTTATGTGAAGGGGTGTCTCAAAATGCAATATTTTTAATTTAGCTCTGCATCTGTCTTTGGTAAGTTTCCATAATGTCATCAAAGACAACTGTTTAATTTTCGCCGTTTAATTTATTGCTGTCTCCTATTATTTTTTTCAATTTAAACATTTAAGAGGTTAAGTGGAGTAGCTTTTGCTAGACTTCGCCTCTACTCTACTGTATACTAGTATATAAGAATAAAGTCAATTTATTATTATTATTATTAGTAGTAGTTTAAGAAGCAGGCCCTAAATTAGGAAAATTGTTAAAATACTTCGTCTTGTTTGTACATAACTATGCTTTTGTTATTATTCTTCACTATAAACTGAATGCAATTTCTTTTTGCTTTCCTTAGGAAAATTAATTACATCCAACGCTCTATTGTTAGGAAGCTGTAAGATTTTGTAGAACAATAAAAATATTGATTTCATTGATTGCAAGTAGGTATAGCTCCGGTTTTCCGTATTTCTTATTTCGCTGAGGACAAGGACAACCAAGCCAAATCTTTTTCCCAAACTCACCTAACAACGTGTTTATGTCTCTCCACCCAGTACTTGATGGCGGACCGTACCATTAGTTCCTGTTTCTTGGTTAATCCGTTGGGACCCAAACCTCCACCGCCGGCCCCGAACGTCTGCAAAGACCCGCTCCTAAAATTCAACCCACCCAACTCCTGCCGCGTACTATACACCCCTTTCAGGTTCAGCTCGTCGTTTCTGTTGTTGTATTCTGCAATGAAAAATCACGTAGATGCGGCACAACTTTCAGCGAGAATCGACACGCACCGTTCTCGATAAGGTTGTCAGTCGATGCGGCGCTAGATGGCGCTTTGAACAAGTCGGCGCTTTTCGGTACGTACGTATCTAGCGAAGCCGACAGTTCCTAAAAACTCGAAATAACATCGCTAGCAAAACAGAGTCGGCACGTACCATCAGCGGTTTCATAATCTCCTTCAAGTGCTGGAGCTGCTCGCAAGCGAATATCAACCAAGAGCAGAACAAACTGTCCAGCAGGTTAGAGTGCAGCAGGGAGAATAGGACGTAGTAGACTTGGTAAATGAGCGCTATATAGTACGGCATTCCCGACATGGCGTTGAACGGGTACCACGCTCTAACGGGTAACCTGGGGATCTCTTCGGATATGGTCTCATTTTCATTATCTGGGTCTTGGATTTGGTGTACGCTTTCGCCAACGAAGGTGATGCCGACCCATGCTGAAACGTGTGAAACAAACTTGATATATTGTTTGGATCATCGAAGCGCTACGCAGTGCTCCTAGAGTGACCCCGCTTGACTTATACTTTGTTATCAGTAGAGATACAAAGTAGGTTAAATTAGCAAACTAGTGACACTTTTTCTACTTTTTCCACCATTGCGATGATGGAAACAGAAAAACAGTTAAACATGGGGTTTAGAAAAAAATTAGGAAAATGTACTATTTTTAAATTCAGCAGCCTGCGTTTTTACTCTAACAATATTAGCCTAAAATTGAAAAAAAACAAATTATCAGCATATGTTTCTTCTAAACTAAATGGCTATTGAGTAGTTGCAAAAGAAAAATCCATTTTCCTTGTATTGTTTTATTGGAAGAGTAATAAACTTGGGAATAAAATAGAAAAGTAAAAAAACTCACAAATTTATGATTAACTATTAAGGTTATTTTAAAAGGTATTCAAAAAAACAAAAACCTCGCACTTCAATACATTTTTAAGCACGTTTTTCTACTGAGCGAATCGCTATATTTTCAAATGACAATTGTTTCGACAACACCGTGTATTTATCAGATGTTATATCTGGCCTTCTAACCAAGGAATAGCCTCATTTGTAGCAATCCATTTATTGTTGAAAATGGTTCTCAAAAATTTATATGTGCCTCGAAAGTTATGAGCTGGTACGCCATCTTGTTGGAAATGGAAAATCTACTTATGAGGTCAAGCTCATCTAGAAAATCATCGGTCAGCGTGCCATCGTAAAAATAAAATGACGATTTTTTGAGTTATAAATTCCAAAATTTGGGAAATTTGATTCGTCAGTCCACAAAATATACCAAAAATTCTTTATGTTTCGGCCGCAAAAGTTAACATACCAATGACAAAAAAAAGTTCTCGTTGCATATCCTGCCAAAAGCACCTAAGGCCAAAATTGTGTTCTTTTTTTTTAATTCTTTGGACAGTATTAAAGGATAGGTTAGAGTTTTTGACTATGTCTGAAATTAAATTGTCACGATATGCTTCAAAATATTGAAGAGCACCAATTTAGACGTCTTCCTTCCTTCCTTCCTTTTTGCGAAAACGGTTTCATTATTTCTAAAGATTCGATAATGACGCAGAAAAATTGTTCACTTGGTGGAACGCGGTGTGAATATAGGTTTATATGCCGTTCTATTGCCCTTACGGACGATTCACTGGATGCCAAATAACATTCAACGTGTCACTTTTCTTCACGCGTAAAATGATTTAAGTGAAAGTGAATATGTGATACTGTAAAATTAATTTAAATAATTGATAAAAATTGATATAACAATACTAATAATTAAAACATTTAAGCTAGTTTTTTTTAAGTATTTTTGTACTTGGCAGGATTCAAATAAAACAATCAAAGGAAAACGGCCATCTCGTGTAAAATAAAATTGTGCTGATAATGCAATTCGATTTTTTTCCATTTTAGACTGATATTGCACATGACGTTCTTTGTTCTGTTGGTGATTTACGAACGTTAGAGTAAAAAATATACAGTGTGTTCTGAAAAGAATTCATTTTCCGCTCTTTCTTTCCTAAACCCTACATTCAATTGTTTTTCTGTTTTCACCATCGTAATCAGTGCAAAAAACGCTACTAGTTTCCTAATTTAACCGACTCTCTCATCATCTCTCTACTTTACTCTGCGCATAACAAAGTTGCCAATGATGAACACTTAATTTAAATCGGAGGCACCTATTGGGGGCCGATGAATTAGGTCAAATTTGGTTCATATTTTGTTTTAGTGTTAGTTGAATTATATGTACAAATTGGTAGCTGAATAGTTTTAAGACAAAACGTGATTCAATTTGACGGCGTGGTTTGACATTTAAAAAAAATGCTTCAATGAATAAGTATTAAGGAAAAATAAATATAATAAATATTATTAAATGTTATGTTATATATATATATATATATATATATATATATATATATATATATATATATATATATATATATATATATTTATTGTAACACATTTAATGAGAAATCTGTTGCTGTTCATTTGCAGACAACCTCTTAACACTATACCGGCCGTTTAGAAATCCTAATTACGTACGGCGCTTGCCGAAACATTGTCCTGATACCTAACTACCGAATACCGTCAATGCTCAGTGATGTTGTTATAGCTGAGAGCCGGCATATTTTATTTTAAAGTAGGATATAATATTAGGGCTATTTGATTTCAATTGAAAAAACCGGTTTTATTTTTTCGATGGGGGGCAGGGGGGCGAAGTCGGGGGGGCTATCTCGGAAACGGTACGACCTGGGGGGTCGGGGTTCTCGCCATCGAATTCAGAAAAAAATCTCGAGGAGGAAGCGACCTCAAAAAATCGCTTTTGAGGAGGTAGCCCTTTTTCGGTTTTTCGAGGTTTTCGGAGTTATTTGAGGTCGGATCGGGGCGCGGACGGTATATTCGCGTAGAGGGGCCCGAGGCGCACCGGAACCCTCAAAAAGGACGCCCCTCAAAATTGAGGAGGTATTGAGGTTAGGGAGGGTCTCGTCTCCTATGGGACGGATCGAAAATTCGAGTACCTACGTCGACGCGCCTATACCCGGGCGTCGTTCTGAAGGCCCATGTCCTATACCCGTCTGTGGAGTTTTTTTTGAGGGCGCCTCCTCAAAGTTCAAAAAGTTTGCTATCTCCGAGGTTTACCGGCCGAATCGCTTCGAAACCGGCACGGGGGGGTTTCTCGGGTCGGAAACGCCGGATCCGCCCTCAAAAATCTCCTACCTCAAAAACTCAAAAATATGACCTTTTTCAATGTTGTCGTTGAACGCGTCGATTAAGGTCGCGTTAGGTCCGGCCGGGTTCGGATCGATACGGGAGGTGGTCGAAGGAACGGCCTTTCTTACGATACCCTCCTCCCCGATCTCCTCCCAAACGGGGGGCGACAAGGGGGGATCAAAAAAAAGGACCGCGTTTTTCACTTTCCCAAAATCGGAAATCGAAAATTCCGACCTCGGGGCGTGAGTGAGGTCGCGGAGGGGCGTCGAGCGCCGCCTTGCCCTACCTCCTCAAAAATTCCTCAATATTGAGGTAGCGTCGGATTTTTGAGTATTTGAGGTCGGGGGCGGACCCGACCCGGACGCCCCGAAAGCCCTATACTCAGGCCACGCGTCGAGCCCGAGATCGACAATTGGCGAATTTTTTTGTTGAGGTTTTGAGGAGGTCAAAGGTCAAAAAGTTTGCTATCTCCGAGACCGTCGTTCCGATCGGGACCCAACTCGGTAAAGTTCTGGAGGAGGTCGGGGGAGGAAGTACCCGACCTCCCTCCTCCTCCCTCCTCAAAAAAATTTTTGAAAATTTTTCGGCGGCGTCCCTTTCGAAAAATTCCCCCTCCCGCCCTATGGGACCGGGAGGGGCGCCGAATTTTTTTTAAGTAAAGGGAGGACGGGGCTTTCGCCTGACGCGGTCGGATCCGAGGTCGGTCCCATAGGGAGGGAGTGCCTCCCACAAAAAAAATGCTCAGTGATGTTGTTATAGCTGAGAGCCGGCATATTTTATTTTAAAGTAGGATATAATATTAGGGCTATTTGATTTCAATGCTACATATTTCTCAATTTTAGGTTTTTGTAGTATGATAAAATAGTTCACTCGGTTGCTAAGATGGATAGAAATATAGTTCTGTGCAGTGTTTCGATTAATAGATTTTAAAATATTTAATCTTAAAAAAAACAAGAAAAAAATACCAACAAAAATTATTTTTATTATATATTGATTTATTATTTAGATTTAATAATTTTTTTTTGTGTGATAATCCTCAAAACATTTTCCCATACATAAAGGAATTACACAATATGAGCACATGAAACAGGTTTCCTTCCTTTTTCCGTTTTTTTTGCAAACTCTGCAGCGCTTTTGAGGAAACTTCTTATTGCCTGAACTAGTAATTTTCACAATTTTATGTTGTCTCATGTCTGCAGAAAGTCTCATTGGTGCATCTTCGCGAGAAACTCTCTTGGATACATTTCCTGGACTCTCTGAATGAACATATCCTTTTTCAATCCAGTTTTGCGCAATATTTTTCAAAAAAGATGAAAATTTTATTTTTTTTCCTGGATTCAGAACCTTGAAGACAACAAATGAATTGAACAGTGCAGTATTTAATATGAACATAAAAGCCTTCTTTGTCCATTTCACAGTTTTTCTTATAATAGGATTATAAGCAAGGTATTGGTCTGCTATATCAACTCCCTTCATGTACTTATTATATTCCAAAATTGTTTCTGGTTTTTGTATCAGATCGCCAGTTTTTCGATTTATTTTCTGGGTTTGTATCATTCGAGCCTGGTGTATTGTTGAAATCATTCTTACAACTCTTTTATCTTTCCAAATATGTATTAGAATTTCACCTTTTCTACGGAAGTTGTGTTGTCCTTGTTTTAAAGTAATTTTTTTTAGATCGTGTGGTAGCCCGCGGTTCTCTCTTATAGTTCCACAAATTCTTATCTTTTTGTAGAGTAACTTCTGTGCTAACTGAACACTGTTGTAGTAATTGTCCATGTAAACATGGTGCCAAATATTTCCATAACCATCTAAAAGGTTTACGACCAGGTTTTGCAATGTTTCTCCATTGCCACTATATAATTTAAATTTGCATATATATCCAGTGTCGGATTCACACAACATTCTCACTAATAACCCATACTTTGTAATCTTTCCTGGGTTGTACACTCGGAAACTTACTCTACCTCTGCAAGGAATCATGGCTTCATCCAACGATAGATTTTGTTTTGGTTTATAGACTTTATCAAACTTCTCTATAAAGTATTGCATTATTGATTCTACTTTAACAAGTCGACTTGCGTCATCAGGGATTGCACTATTATCGCAAAAATGTAGTGATTGTAGTATTTGCCTGAATCTATTTCTAGTCATGATTTTACCAAAAATTGGTGTTTCCATGTACGGATCAGTAGTCCAATAATCGTTAACATTATTTTTTTTTACTTGTCCCATCAATATATTCAAAGCTAAAAATTTCTTGATTTCTGTTATCGTGGTATCTCGCCACTGCTTTGTGCTTTTTACACGTTTATATTTATGCATGTTTTGCATATAATATCTATTTGTCTCTGTTACTAATAATTGAAAAAAATCATCATCTATAAACAAATCCACCACGTCTGAAATATTTTCTGCATTTCTTGGGAACACTTTAACCCCAGAATTTCCCAAAAATGGGTTTACTGTAATATCGTTATCGATTTGGGACCAATTTGATGTTGAACAGTTCTGTTCGTTTTCCAATATCGTGTCTTCTGAATCGCTGCTTTCAGATTCACTTATAATTGGCAAAACATTTCTTTTTCTGCTACTTTCTGCTAAATCTGTATCGTCGCTGTTACATTCTTCATCATTTTCAAACTCAGATAATATATCGGCACATACCTCATTACATTTATTAATTAATTCAAAGTCGTCTTCTTCCATGATATCGCAGGGCAAACAATTAAATTAATATATAAATTACTTAATTAATCAGTCAATTCGTAAGTTAATTATTGCAGAACACAAGCTAACTCTTAAATTATCAGTTATAATGTGACATTTACTATGACAACAAAAAACGTACTACTACGTCAACGGCGCCTAGATTTACAACCAAAAATAACGTACCACTACGTCCACGGCACCTAGATTTGTCACAATTAATGACGTATTACTACGTCAACGGCTACAAGATTTTGGATGAAAAAAACGTATTAATACGTCAACGGGCACTAATGTGTTAATATAAGGTTCATGTTCATAGTGTATTCATTTAGTCTATTTTTATTAAATTTTACCAAATTTTTTGAAGAAAACAAATAGGTGGACACAAACATCGTTAAATCATCAACCAGTTTTTTCATTCGCATGAAATTGTTTGGAAAAAAATCCTATGCTTTTTATATCATATTTTCAATTTTTGCCCTACTTGCACACAGTTTCCATTTGACTTCAGAAATCCAGTGTTCCTTTTGAATTCGGTGTCGTTTGGGTATAATACGAAGTAAAATATATATTTTAATGTATTGTTTGTCTCCACAACACCTTCATAATCATTAAAAAATTTTAACTGCATTTTCTCGATAGGTCAACTAAGTTTGCAAAAAAAATTATAATGTATTTTGAAATTGTTTTTGTAATTGAGAACAATATATCACGATGTTTATGAAATAAACCCGCGTAAACAAACAAATCGTTGTCAATATGAGTAGCGATAGTGAGTTAAAAAGTTAGCATATGTCATGACTTAACGTTCGCACCTAGCTAGCAAAAGGACGCCACTCAAGTGACAGATTAGTAGAAAGATTGGTCCTCATTTACAAGTCAAATAGGGCACCAGCTGATAGAGGGAGTTGTATGATGGTCGTGGTCATCAGAAAATGGGTGAAAAGATAACAAAAGATAACAAAAGCATATCGTGCTGTTTACCTGACGCGGATAAAATGGTGAAAGCCATCACACAGTAGAGCAGCGTTCTCATTTTCTTCAGAGCCAACGCGTGATATCTGTTGTTGGACTCCACGAAAATCGGATGACTATTTGGCTGGTTCCATATACTCAACGTTCTGAAAAAATCTTGTTAGCACTTGACGAGTGTTACCATCGCATACCTATACCTATAAAAGAGTTTGGATCTTAACGCGAAATATATAAATTTCGTTATACAGTGGGTGAAGAATAACATAGTGATGGTGTTGGCCGCCAAATCATTGACGTTGTCTTTTTCAGCCACTAGGTTGCCGAACATGCACCTACAAAGACCACAGGCATACACTATAAAGTTGATATGTTAAAGCCGCCAGAACTCACCCAAACTGCACCAATATTAGAACCAAATTCAAACAAGAGTAGCCGAGTCTAAGGCTGTGCATTCCGCTGGAATTATCTGCGTAATAGTTGAACATAAAATGTCCCGAGCCCTGGATAAGCCTGATGTTGGGCATTAGGTCGGCCACTAGGCCGACCACTTTGAATTTGTTCATCATCTAGAACAATGGGAGAATATGAAAGGGGGCGGTTGCTGGAAGAATCTAATAAAAAACAAATCGCACAAAGATATTTTAAATTCTTTTCTGTGGGGCACAAATTCTCCTAAAAATTTATAAGAAACTGAATGTATTATACTAAATATATACTCTGACATTTACCATGTAATAAGTGCAGGTTTCGAAGAAAATCTATACAAGAACTTATTGGGTACTGTGTGGCAACTGGTTCACAATCCTAACTCATTAAAATAATGATACCAGTAATAATCAAATAAAATGCAAACTATAGTGAAACTGCCATTTTGTGATTAGCATACTGAAATTTGAAACGCAATCTAGCAACTTTTCAGCTTTAGTTTGTGGTTGGCCCTAGAACAAATACTGTAAAAATTAATGTGCTTTTATGACATTTCATTTCTAAAGAGAAATCTCTGCACACACTTGTTACCCAAGAACATTGGATGAATTTTAAAAACATATTGCTGTAAAAATACAACATCTAAAGTGACACCCTAAATAAAAAAAAAGGTTAAGGCATCGTGAGGCCTTGAACATGAAACTGCTATAAGTTTTTATTTATGGCATTTTATTATTCCATTTGTTGAGACCCCAACGAGTTTTTCGAATTAAACTGAAACCTATCGAAACGAGATTTGAAATGACCGCCAATTTGCATATTTTTCTTTCTTTTTTTCATCGTCGCTTCAAAACTTCGTTTATTATCAGCATAGACAGCATGGACTTTCGTACCGGGTGTTCTAATAAGAAATTAACAAAAATGTTATGTTAATCGTCCAAGAAAAAATACTGGAAATGATTTTAGAGTCTCTGAAATGTGTCCTAAGATAAAAAAATATTAATATGTTTTTGCAAGTGTACTGTTTGCTCTATATCTGCTGGTAAAGCGGTAGGAGGTGTTCCAACATTTTCTTAAATAAATATCGATATTTCCATATGCACTTTAATGAATTTGGTATCATTATAAAGAGATTTTCGTAGGCTAACCGTGATATGCGATTTCTTACGATATACCTTTCTAACATGATTGCAAAAGGACATTTTTTCAAGAATAGAATAAATACAGCGATATGACAAGCGAAGGCCCAACAATATCTTTATCGTAACCTACAATAGGATTAAAAAACTTAACGCTCAAAAAAAGTTTGATTTTTGGAAAAAATCTCAACTTATCCTGAATTTACGAAATAAATCATAAATTAATTATTTAGGTAACCAAATGATATTTAAAATCGAAATAAAATATCGGTATTTATCATATATTATTTTTTTTACAATACTTTCAAATATTTAGTATTATTTAATCAAAAACATTAACCACTTTTTTTGACTGTTAAGTTTTTTAATCATATTTCCTGATAAATGTGGTGACGCCAGAAAAGTCATATGATTATTTTTGGCATAATCGCGTCACTCATGGCAAAACCTCTTCTTAATGATGTTCATAGAGCCCCACCACTTTCCTTGCAGAGATCGAGCAAACAACAGCTCTAAAACAGTACTCACTGTGGTTAACATTAGACAATTTCGAGGTTTGAAAGTTGAGATACAATTTACGCAATCTGATTTACTTAGAAATTTAATTTTTCATATTTTTAGGACCTTTCCATTAATATCTTGGGATACTTGACACAACACCTAGTGCTTAAGTGTAAAGTGAAAAATATATTTAGTCTCTAGTTAGTCCGGATGGGAAAGAATTCTTACGCATCCTCCCCTGATAGTTATATTAGCAAAGAATGGGATTAAATCCGCAAAATTTATTCAAATTCGCCATCTGTTGCTCAGTTTGATGGCGAGCATCAGCTTTTATTCAATCGAAAGTGAACGATGTTACACTTTTACTTATATACAGTGAAAATGACATTTTCATAAGTCAAAATGACCGGTTGACATAGTTTCGCCTTATTTTTTTTATGGAATAGTGGGTCCTTGACAATTTGTTTTCAAGGTCTTTTTATCCCTACTTTAATTCTTGGTTTTTAGACATTCGATTAATACATTTTTTAAATGGTTTTTAAATGGTTAGAGAGTTAAATAGGTTTCGGTAATTATTATTATTATTATTATTATTATTATTATTATTATTATTATTATTATTATTATTATTATTATTAGTCGTATCCCTGTAGCACTACTAGACCCCATTTGAAAATGAAATAATTAAATGTGTTTTAAATATTTGAATTAAACATAAAAAGGTCTTCAAAATAAAGTGCCTCATGACCCACCATTTCATAGCAACATAAAACATAAAAGCAAATCGAACCTATACTGAACCGTCATTTTTACTTATGGAAATACCATTTTCAGTCTTATATACAACCCTCTCAAATTTCATCGCAATGTACCAAAAGTTTCAAAAGTTAAACATACTTTATGTCCTCGTTGTATAATAGTCATAACAATATCGTTAAAATGAGAGCATGCAGAGAATCCTTATCATTATTATTTTTTACTTACGTAAATACTAAAATAATGGATGTTTTTTTCGATGTATAGAAATTTAAGTTGGCATTACTGTTCAAGATGGCGACCGATTTAACAGCTGTCAAGTGATTTATTCTCAGTTTGGTTTGGCAATTCATCATGAATAGACTCACGCCTGAACAACGCTTGCAAATAGTGCAATTTTATTTCGAAAATAATGGTTCTATGCGGAATACGTATCGCGCACTACGTTAATTAATTAACAGTTAATTCGATTAACCATGGAACGTTTTCGCACCACGTTTACTCTTATTGATAACTCGCATCCCCAGAGACGCCGTACGATGCGTACAGAAGAAACTATTGCTGTTGTAGAGCGTAGCATTGAGGAAGGAGAATGAGTCCATCCGCCATCGAGCACAGGAATTGGATCTGTGTCCATCCACTTTATGGAAGATTTTGCGGAAGGATCTTGGTTTACGTGCTTACAAAACCCAACTCGTGCCAGAATTGAGGCCAAACGATCATCAAGTAAGCCGTAGATTCGTCGAAGGGGCCCAAAACGAGATTGCCATTGCTCCCCATTTTCATAAGCGAATTTTGTTTAGCGATGAAGCGCACTTCTGGTTGAATGGCCAACAAACAAAACTGCCGTATTTAGAGCGAAGCTAATCCTCAAGTGTATGTCGAAACAACGTTACATCGAGAAAAAATGACTGTTTGGTGCGCTTTATGGGCTGGTGGAATCATTGGTCCGTACTTCTTCAAAAGCGATGATGGCCAGAACGTTACAGTCCATGGTGATCGGTATAGAGCTATGATTATTAACTCTTTCATTCCTGAATTGAATAACCATGATGTCCAGGAGATGTGGTTCCAACAAGACGGCGCAACATGTCACACAGTTCGTGCCACAATCGATTTATTGGTGACCGCCTAATTTCACGTTTTGGACCTGTGAATTGGCCTCCAAGATTTTGTGATTCAACACCGCTAGACTACTTTCTGTGGGGCTATGTAAAGTCATTGGTCTATGCGGATAAGCCACAAACGCTTGACCATTTGGAACACAACATTCGCCGTGTTATTGCCGATATACGGCCACAAATGTTGGACAAAGTCATCGAAAATCGGACGTCCAGATTGGCGCCAGCCGTGGCGGTCATATGTCAGAAATCATATTTAAAATGTAATGCCACAAGACTATCTTTCGGATAAATAAAATTCATGTCAATCGAATAATCCGTCGTTGTTTTATTGCAACTTAAAGTTCTATACATCGAAAAAAAGCACCCCTTACTTCAAAACATCGAAGTAGAATACGAATTACGTAAACAGGGTGGAGGATACTTTCAACAACTAGTTTCTTTGTTCTACTTATGCTATAGCTTGTTACAGATAGTTAGGAGTAATTTACGAATATTTTTGGAACGTACGTCACGTCTTAGTGCGTATGTTCAATATGGATTTCGACAGCGGTTGCAACGGAAACAGATTTTCGCACCATACATTATTTACGACATGCATTCGTTGGTCACGCACGGCGCTCGGTTGTTGATTTTGGAGATCGCGTTGTCGAAATCCACGTCGCTCAATTACTACGTTTGTCGGGCAGGTTATTTTCTTATGTAACGGCATTTTTCAGAACGCAAATGGATATTTCTAAATACATTAAAACGAAAGGACTTTAGCTAATTGGTTAGATGCCATTTCCACAAATTAATCTGCCAAAAAAGAAAATTGAGATTTTCTTGTCATTGGGCCACAACCTTTAAAAATTGTGCATTTAATTGCAGTGTCTCTAGGATTTTACGGAATCAAACATAATTTAGATCAAGGTTTTAAAAGATTGAAGCGTTGGGTTCAAAATTTTCGTTGTCTTACATAAAAGAATGTCTGACTCTTGTCATTCAACTTGTTACTTATTTGGTTGTTTTCTTTTTTTTTTGACAAAGTACTAAACAGAATAAAAAAATGTAAGGATTGCAAAATTTCAACCAATCAACAAACAAACATTTTAAATTTAAATTAAATTTTAATTACTGTTCGTATTCGGAATCGTGAAATGGTGCGAAATGATGGAAATACTTTTTCAATTTAATCCGTAATTGTCCAGACAAATCTGCAACTGACTGTTTGGTTTATTTCTTAATTCCGATCCCTTAAATGAAACGTTTAAAAATTGTTTTTGAAAATTTAATCTGGACTTATATGCCACCGCCTTATTAAAAGTTCGGGGGAAGTAAACAAAGAACGAAACTCCTAATAATCTACAGCGCTGCAAAATAACACATCGCGCTAATTTATCGCTATTTTGAAAAATGTTTCACTAAATTTCCATGTAAGGCAAATGTTGTACTTTTTACAAAACTTCTGCATTTCTCCTGCGTCGATTTTGCTGAGTCAGTTTCAGTCAAACTCTGAAGAAGGAAACAAGATGATTGGCGAAACGTCAGCAATGAGGCAAATGTGGAATGTTTATATGAACTCTAATAAGTTATGTTATATTTTACTCTGACTTTTTAAATGCATCATACTGTGTCCATAAAGTTTATAAAGTTTACAATATAATATATTAATATATTGAGGCCACTCGGTACACTATCTCGCATAAAATTGGACGAGCAATATCAGCAAATCAGCGATAATGAAGTTTGTGCTTTATTCTCTCTGGACCAGGACTAAAACTTAATTTCTTTGGAAAGAAACAATACTTAGCAACGAAAATGAGTCGAGAATGTAACTTGTGATGTAGAAGGTGGAACCACCTTCAGCATTTCGCTTACCTTGAAAATCGAAAGGGTCTATAATTCCAACAGCACAAAATTCGGAAAACGATCACAGCGCCCTACATAGTATCACCGCTTATCACCGTCGACAAAATTATCACATCCCGCGCATCACAAACACTTCAACTGTAATAACTAAGCTATTGCTAAACTTGACATTCGGCGTAGATAGCATCTAAGCCGTTTAACTATCGTGGACCAATCAGACGGTCGCGTAAATTTTCGCGGGCGTGGCCTATCGGCTTTTTTTATACGTCTCTATATCGACTTCGACGAAGTCTATCGATGATGAACTGGTAATTTTAATTCTTCAATTATTTAAGATTCATTCATTATTAACGTTTATGGACAGGAGTTGTGTTTGTAGGTCTTTAATGGCTATTCGATATCTGCCGACTTGCCGGAAATTAAAATTGTACTTCTACGTCGCCCTCTGTATAAGCACATCACAATTCGTTGTATCTGGGCAGCGCATGTACTGGGAAATATATCCGCTTTAGAAGGATAGTAATTATATCGACCATTATAAATTTGAAAATTTTTCAATTGCTTTTAAAAAACGTTTTTCTACTCCCGTCTGTAAAATACCTAATTCCTCACCGATCTAGTGTGCGGAAAGTGTCAGTTTCGTTTCCCACGGATCCGAGCCATTTTTGACATTTCCGGGATTTTACCGCACGGGTTTGGAAACAAGCACGGTTTGAATTTTGACGTTTGTCAATTCTGACGGTCGCGTTCCGCTCGCGTGAAATAAACTCATGAGTCAACTGCCGTTTACCGCACTTCTTTTAATATAATATTTTCTAATCCAGTCTGCAAAATACCTGATTACACACCGATCTAGCGTGCGGAAAGCCTCACTTTACCACGTCAGTTCCGTTTGTCACGGATCTAAGCCATTTCCGGGATTTTACCGCAAGTTTGTCAATTCTGACGGTCATGTCAGTGAATATATCCGTGCTGTTTTGCAAAAATGTACCCAAAAGCTAATACATAGTGGACTAGTCTGTAAGTAAAGTGACATTTATAATTTAGGTTTCCCACAGAAATTTTACATACCGTTTGCATGAACTTTAGTGGTTTTTACAGTTTTTATGTTAATTCTTCCTAATACCAATTGTTCCATTTTCAAATATCCATGTTTGATTAATACGAACAAAAAAAAATTGAATTGATCTTAAAAATTTATCTTTATGCTTAAAAGGTCTATCCTTGGACAATTTTTCTTCCAATTATAGTCTTTTTCTTTAAATCAACAATGTAAAGTTTTAAAATTGTCTTTACTTCATTGTTTATGTGACATATCCAATAATACATCTTTCTCTATCTAACGTACACAGTTAAGAAGAGACAACAATAGCAGAACCCGTCCGAACTAAAACGAAATTTAGTAATCTGATGTTCTGGTATAATATTTTATTTATTAAATTGTGATTTTTTCGTGACGGTCGTAGAAAAAGTATAGTATGCAACACGTTTGGTTAACTCTTTATCTCACTCGTTTATTAAGCACTCGCTCCGCTGCGATCTGCTCGTGCCAAATACAGTTTATCGCACTTGTTCCATAATGTACTATTTACTGCAGTCATAAAAGACGGAGATTAAAAAGAAAATGGAAAATAAAGTTCGTTTTTGCTGTAATAGATAAGCACTTTGCTAAGCTATAGGCTATTGCAGAATTAATTTTGATATGTATTGTGAATCCGATAGTACTGGTTTTGGTGGACCTCTTTAAAAAGTATGGATGATTGCCTGTGAAAATCATTACTTGACTAATTTTTATATAAAAAGTTCATATATTCATCAGTCCGAAATAGAGGGAACAGTTTTTGATTAAATTTTTGTTCAGTAACATGGCAATTAGACGAAATTCACATATTCACGACACGAAACTGAAATATTAACTTTAATTACAGTCGAACTTCGATAAGTCGAACTGCGATTTGACATATGATAATTTCGAGTTATCAAAACTTCGAGTTATCAATAAAAACTACAAATGCATTTACTTTTTTGTGAAAGAACATTTATTCGTTCATTTTTAAAAATGGGTTATACGTTACATAAATGCCCTAATATCTATGATTTTTGAGCAAAAAGCGAAAATTATGAAATAGTAGTACATATGAATATGTACGTAGTATATATAAACATAGTATGTATGCACATATACATACATATTTATGTACATATTAAAGTTTACTCTTTCACTGGAAAAAAGTCAGTTATTTGCGACTGACGACCGGATTTCTTATTTTGGTTTTCAACAAAAGCTTCAATTTTATTTAAGCAATCATCGAGGGAATCGGTTGTGTATTCGCTGGTTTTCAAATAGGAACGCAAGAAAATCAACGAATTTTCAACCAATTCATTTGAAGGTGGTTGCGGACAATCATCTTCCATTCCTCCTCCATCGTGTCACTTTCGCAGTCATCTTCGATGTTTTACTGTACAGGTTCGGATCTGCAGGACTCGATAATATCTTCATCAGTAGGAAACTCTGAAATAACAATATCCTCATCCACATGTATAAAATCGTTGATGGTACTACCTTGTGCTATACCTCTAATGTTTGTCCAAGCTTTAAACTCCATTTCTATTTGGATTTCGTCTTCACTCTTTTGTTTCAGGCGTTCACTTAGGAAAATCAAGGGAATCTCATCTTCTTCTTCCCATTCAGAATACTGACCAAAACCGGCTTTTTTAAAACAATTGCAAATTGTTTCAGGCTTAACGTCGATATTCCATGCGGTAGTTACGTCGTCAACACAATCCATTTGTGTAATGTTATTGTTTTTGTTTTCTTCGAAACGTTCCATTCCGGTGATGACTGAATGTTTATTTTTCAAAATTGTAGACACTGTACTTGCCGAAATCCCATACTTCACAGCTACATCTTTATTTTTTGAGCCACTTTCCACTTCTTTTATAACCTTGAATTTTTGATCAACAGACAAAGCTTTTAAAGTATGTCTTTCATATAATGTGTAAATTGAATAGGGACAGTATTTTTCACTTAGTATTAACTAGTAAGTCATACAAGTGAACTTAGCAAGCAAAGAAACTGAACTGCTAGCATAGATACGTTAAAAAGACAGGTTAAGATCGGTCGTAATTAGGGGGTTCCCCGAGAAAATTCGACTTATCGAAGTTGGCACCAAATGTTTCGTTCGAGTTATCAAAATATTCGAGTAATCGAAGTTCGAGTAATCAAGACAAACTAACACGCATTTCCTACTTTTGACGCTATTGCCAACCAATTTGGTTCGACTTATCAAAAATTCTAGTTATCGTAGTTCGACTGTATTAATAATTTTAACTGACCATAAATGTTTTGTGTGCACCGAATATCGTTTTCGACTAGGACAACATATTTTTCATTCAATTTTACATACAAAAGTATACTAACCAAACCCAAACTACTATATACTAACTAACCAAAAGCGGTCGTTTTCGATAAAAGCGGTTAAACCCGCGTTGAAATTTTTGTTTATCCGTTTTCAAGGTCTTGAAAAATAAGCGAAAAAATACTTCCTTAATGTCATCTTCTATGTTACACTATCACATTATATAGATATCACTATTACCGAATTAGCGAAGTAGATTGAAATATACATTTTTACGCTTATTCTTTAAAAACTACTAAATAATCGAAGAAAAATTCAGGGTTAAATTCATCATTAAATTAAATACGAAGAGTAATTTTGTATGTAAAATTAAAAGGAGAAAAGATGTGCCAATTTAAAAATTAGATATTACATACAGTGCGACGCAAAACAGCTATTGTTAATTAAATTCAAGAAGAAATATTAATCAAAAATCTAAGTTAATATCTCAGTTTTTCATCGTCAATATACCTACCTAGTATCTCAAGTTTGTCTATTGCCGTGTTACTGAAGAAAAACATAATCAAAAAATAAATTCAAATCTGTTTTTTTGATCACCATTGAACATCAAAAACGAAGCCCGTTAAAATTCGATTTTACTACTAGTACTTAATTAACACCCTGAATAGTATCAAAAATGAGGTTGACGAAAATATCGCCGAGCTTTCATGAAAGGACTGTCAACGGGTATTAAGGTGCTTTCAGGAAAAGGAAAATTTTTAAAAGTTTATTGCTATGCTGGAGATTACCGCAAGAACAAGACTCCAACTTCATCTTGAAGAAAACAAGAATTTGTTTGAGAGTTATGCGCCGAATCTATTGAAATAAGGAACTATTACATATCGGGTTAATAAAAAGTCCTGGAACGCTTAAATATTTTCAAAACTGGAAAACCTGGAACGATAAAAATGTTGTCATGTTACATTGCAAGATATAATTTTATTGAAGGTCGAATTTAACAATTTCTCATAATTCCAATTTTTTTTTCTACGAATTCCTGAGCTTCGGCGACATAGGTTTTTCAGTAATACGTATCGGAATCCGGAAATGTTCAGATTTTCACAGATGCTTCTCCAAAAGTAGCAAATCTGACAACACTGCTTTTAGCATTTTTGAATATTATTGCGAACTGTATCCCATAAAACTTATATTGTAGCAATTGAAAGGAGTGAAAAAAAGGAGAAGTAGTAAAACACAACACGACAAAATGAAGACATACTGTTTCATGAGGCCATTGACGTTACACCAGAAAAGCACTCCACCACGTCAATTACAACGTCAAGTTGAGATGAGAGTTCTTCAGATGAACAAGAATACTATAATTTTTTTTATAATTTCACGGTATCACGGCGAATCTAATTTAATTTGGCACACTTCTGAAAAATTGGAATTATATCAATATTGGAGCCACATATGTCTTCTTCTTCCTGGTCCTCGTCTGCTGTCTATCTTTCTCTGCACTCTTAGCTCCAATAAATGAAAACTGTCATGTCTCATTATTTTAATTTTCCTTTTCTTAATGGTGGACGTTATTTCTTTGCCTATCCCATCCGGCGCGATACTTCGACATTTCGAATACCTTCAGCTTGTTCATTAGCGTCATCAGCATATCGAATATTGATTATTTACTTCTTCATTCACCTAAACTCCATCGCTTAATGCTTTTTCATAATTTGCTCTGAATAGTTGTTGAGGAGAAGTGTATGAAGTATTTCTTTTAGTCGTTTAGGCTTCACTTTGTCAAACAAAAAGTAGAAAATATCACAAAACATACTAAAACATATTTGTTTACTTACCCGTAAGAAGATTAGCCTCTCTTTACCATTTTTAGTGTTGGTAAATGATTAACAACAGATGAAAGCTATAAATTTCTACACTACTACTATAAATAAGAACAAATTTATACCTAATCATGTTTTATTACTCTACACCTTTCTTAAACAGACTATATCCAGATTTTGCATTACATGAAATTTTATTTGTTATTTCATCAATAAATATTAATTTTCTTAATTATACCTTATTTGTGCAGAAAAACTAGGACTTTTGTAGCATGAGACTATTAAGTAAGAATGAATTATATATTTTTAGTGAATTTAATCGAGTCAATCAGTTATGTGCATTTGTTATAGATCATTCACAGTATAATTCACCGTATACTTAGAATTATTCGCCTTGGTGCTCTATAGATATTTTGCAACATTCTCGTATATTAGGCAAAAATATGGAAGCCACTTTAGTCACTGTTTTGATTTGACAGAAGCAAAGCAAGTTTTTAATAAACATATTTCACTACTACAGCAACAAAAAAGAAAGCTTAGTACCAAAATCGATTTACAAAACTTTCCAAAAAAAGGTTAAAAATATTATGCAGTAGCGAAAAGCTATTTAGTTGCAGCCTAAATCTATTTCAGAAAAATGTGAGGTATGAAACTTCATTAAGTATTCAAAGGGAACGCAAAACCCATGAATTTCCTAAGCTACTTTTATTGTTTGTGTCAATTTATGGGTTTTGCTTATTATTAACAATACTGAAAATGGCGTTCCGGTACGGGTTACTAAAAGGAAGGCTTGGGGCTAAAGGGAAGATAAGAATTTTATTTTAACAGAATCAAAATTAGGTTTTACGGCTGGAGATTATAATTTAAAGGTTGACAGTCTGATCAGTCAAGCAGTCAAGAAGTGTCACGTCCTCAATGGCTTGAACACACCATAGCTTAAGATATTTCGATTTGAATATCGTGAGATGTAATGCTACAAATTTTTTGTAGCCACCGATCAATGATCCCACCAGCCCATCAAGCGCACCAAACAGTCAATTTTTCTGGATGTAACGGTGTTTCGACATACACTTGAGGATTAGCTTCGCTCCAAATGCGGCAGTTTTGTTTGTCGACGTAGCCATTCAACCAGAAGTGCGCTTCATCGCTAAACAAAATTCGGTTATGAAAATCGGGAACAACGGCAATTTCGTTTTGGGCCCATTCGACGAATCTACGCCTTACTTGATGATCGTTTGGCCTCAATTCTTGCACGAGTTGGATTTTATAAGCACGTAAACCAAGATACTTCCCCAAAATCTTCCATAAAGTGGATGGACACAGATTCAATTCCTGTGCTCGATGGCGGATGGACTCATTCGGGTCTTCCTCCATACTACGCTCTACAGCAGCAATAGCTTCTTCTGTACGCACCGTACGGCGTCTCTAGGGATGCGAGTTAATCGAATAAACTGCTCTGATTTTGTCGACGATAAAGTGGACGTAGTGCGCGATACGTATTCCGCACAGAACCATTATTTTCGAAATAAAATTGCACTATTTGCAAGCGTTGTTCAGGCGTGAGTCTATTCATGATGAATTGCCAAACCAAACTGAGAATAAATCGCTTGAAAGCTGTTAAATAGGTCGCCATCTTGAACAGTAATGCCACCTTAAAGTTCTATACATCGAAAAAAAAACACCCTATACAATGGGGATCAAAAACAATAAAGTCAATTAAATCAATTATTTTCTTGGTGCTACTTCTAGAGGTATATTTACACAAGAGGAAGTGGCACTGGTTTTCATTTGCGTTTAGAGTACTAACACTAATACTTAGTAGTTAATTGTTAGAGTAATGTTCAACATTTTTGTAGTTCCTAAGATATTAACACACCACTTTTGTGTAAAATTAAGAATTGTTTTTGATCATTTTGGCTAGTTTTAAAGGCTAACACAAATTAAAGGAAAAAGAACTATCCGAAGGCAGCAACAAAATGCCACTTTCATTATTTTTGAGCATGCCTATGGCCTTGTAACCCGAAACCGGCGGACCACAATACGTCGTCTCGGTCATCTCCAAAGACCATTGCAATTCATAACCACTTTCTCTCCGACCACGTGACCGGTCCCCAACGTCTACGTTGGTTAAGTCGCAACGAGGTGGGAACCCATTGGTCCGAACGAACTCATAAACCTGAACGCGTGTTTAGTATAAGACATTCAACGCTGTCTCCAACTTTCACAAAGCAGAAAACCAGCGTCGCTGTGCGTTTGTTTAAAACAATTCGGTGTGTTTGCTGGTGGAGTAGTGAGTCCGTTTTTGTTCTGGGATTTAAACTCGCGACGACGTGCTGGTGAGTATAGCTTTAAGTAATTCATTTAAACCGCGTAATATGTTATCGCGGAGTTGACCATTCAATTAGGTTATGTTCCGAGCGGAACTGAAGACCCGAAACAGGTTCGAGATTTTATGAGGCGAGCATCCTCGAATATTCTAATTTTAGATTTTAAATTGCTTTGTTTTCGATATACAGAGTGTCAAAGTTTAATCTTTTTCTTCTCAGCATAAAATTGGTAAGAGAAACCATTGTGAAGAAAATAATTTTTGATAAATTATAATAACTGGTTTTTGTAAATCTAAAACTGTTAAGTACCAAAATAAAGCCACAGAATGAATATTAATTAATATCAATGGGCGTTTTCAGAGTTCCGCTTGTGAATCTTCCTAATCACATAAATCTGTTGTTTTGAATATTTTTTTAACGCAGCAGTTTTTGTAAAAAATAAAAAAAATCGTTTTCAACGATACCCGAACTAAAAGAAACCATTATCAATTTATTGGGTGTTGTTTATTTATGTACGCTGCTTTAACAGGATAGATCGAAATTGTGGAGTAACATGAGAACACAAAATTAATTCCACCTGAAGGTTTCTACAAATAAGCGTTCTAGCGCGAAATTACTAATAAAATTTTAATGGTTGCGGCTAGTTATTATCTGCTCAGAAGAATTTGTGCTTAACGGTTCTGAGCTCGCAATTAAAAATATCTAGACCGCTATTATGGTTGAATTTATTGCGCATATAATACAAAGGAGAAAACTTTTAGAACATCGGAGATATTTAACTGCTCAAGTGTGTCGGGGCAATTAACCGAATTATGAATCATTTTCTGTAGAAACATCGCCGACAAGTCAAGAGGTAAGCGAAATAGATGAATTTCATTTTGAATTAAAGTTTTTAAATGTTTTAAAGTGTTTTATGTAGGATAAGATATTGAACCTACGAAAATAATATACAAGAAGTTCATGTAGTTACGAGATGCATGTATCGACAATATTGTTAATTGTTGATTCGATTGGATATCATGTATGTTGTATTAAATCCAACTGGAAAGCTTGAAGGCATTTTCTTCTTCAAGTGTCGGTCTTCACTTTGTCCACAGCAGATCTGATCAATGCTTACTCCATACCACTGATGAAGAGTTCTGAGGCAAGACGTTAGACCAGGACCATGTTTTCCCTCTATTTTTCATTGTATGGTTATATGAGGCAATTAATATCCTCCACCTTTCTTCTTTTAATATTATCAACCTCTCTATCTTTGTTCAAATATTGCAAAAACTGCTTGATTCGCGTCACTCTGTCCACCCACGATACCTTCAACATTTTGCGGTAAGCCCACATTTCGAAAGTCTCAATCCTCTTGCGTATTGTTACCGTGAGGGTATATGCTTCCATACAGTAAAATAATAAGCTAATGACATAGCAACGCAATAACCCTATTCTTAAGGGAATTCTGAAGGCTCTGTTGGTTTTGCATGTTCTTAAAGGATTCTTCTTGCTGGCTCTATTCTGTTTTTGATTTCTTGACTTGAGTCCCATTTGAGATATCTGTTAAGTTATAAGTTATATTTTTGTTTTTGCTGATACCTATCCATTTGGTTTTCTTTATATTAAAGCGTAGACCCAATGTTTTCTTAGCATTTTATGTATATTCTGGAGTGAATGATTTTCAAGAACAACTTCAATACATGGCTCATTAAACTGATCGTTCTATAATCTTTGCATTACCTGCAGTTATAACAGCCTCTTCTATTCGGATACGTACGCCACTGGCAGGCGCCGCAATTCACTTTAAACCAGTCTCTCCGAGCTCCATTAAATCCGAAAAACAACCCCCTACGCGCCCTCATCGCGACAGTCGCTACCACCAGAACGTTTCGGTAAGATGTCGGCAATCTGGGTCATCGAAAGTGAGTTGCCACATTCGGTTATATAATACGTGTCCATTCTTGATCTCGTGGAGCGTGCGCTTACGATACATCGCGAATGTTTTGCGCAAAGTTTACAAAGTTTTTTTTTAATGCGTATTAGTTGCGCCATCCGCCGATGTTAATGAGCTTACGGGCGGCAAGGTCAGCCAAATTACTATTGCTCTTAAGTTGAAAAAGCTGTTTGGTCGCCTATATTTTTCGTTTCAAAACGTGAATGACATATCCTGCGATTTACACGACGTCAAAGTAGTTGATTGCTTAAACGAAAATAACGGTTGCTGGGATCTCACAAGGCAGGCTTCGAATGAAATGCTCGTTAATAAGCGTCGCTTCTAATTTCAACAAATTCTAGTTGTGCACTCCTATGAACGTTTAATTTATTCCGCCCTCAATTTTCCATTCCTGAGATCCAGGCAGATACATCCGGGTTTAGAGTGCTATGGCGCTTGATCAGGAACTAGCAATCTTAGCATTTGTTCACAAAATTCCATAAATGGAATTACTGCTAGATCGTCTAGAAAAACTGGAGTTTTACAAAAAGGGAGGTTAAGTTGATATCTGCAGGTTTGATGTAGTTTTCGTTAAAATAAAAGGCCAAAAGTTGGTTTTAACTGTAATTTAATGAAAATGGGCTGGAAAGTGTGGAGTTGGGCTCATTTTTACAGTTTATGCTTCAAAAATTCTCCTTGGAAATGCGATTCTATACAAAAAGAGCGTTGGATGTAGCTTAGGGTAAATAATTTATTTTTGACTGGAATCTGCTCGAAATCGACTATAAAAAATGAAATTTCACTCATTTTTTTGTGGTTTACTTATCTAAACGTTGTTCAAAAGGCTCTAAAAAGTCTTGGATTTATTCTACGGATGACTAATGAGTTTAATAATAAAAAATCTTTAATATTTTTTTACATTCTTGTCAGACCCGTGTTGGAATATGCTACGCCAGTCTGGAATGCAATGTATTTTAAATATATCTAACCGCTAGAGAGATAGTACGCAGTTTTTGGAAAATGTAGAACAAATTTTGATTTACTATTTCTTTATAGAGTCAGAAACAATTTGATTGAATCTCTTTTCGTTTTGGAAAAAACATACTTTAATGGTAATCCCTACATTCTTCGAAACATCTAGATATCATTCAAACTACTCTCCTAACTCGGCAATTATCAGATGTACCGTACTTATAACAGGGTAGAGAACGCGTTCCTGGGTCTTGATCTATTTGCTCTGAGCTTTGAATCATTTAAACGACACTTAAGACGGTATACCAATTAACATACTGCAATAAAGGGCTGTAATTAGTTCTTAATTAGATTTAACTGGTAAAAAATAATTGAAACTCTGTAGGAACGACTTGTTATTAAATAAATAAATAAGGTCATTTGGAACAAAAACAGATTATAGGGTTTTTTGCTTGCTTTTTCGCATATTTTTTCTTTTAATGTGTTCAAAAGGTTTCATTTTAAAATTAGTTGCTTCAACGTCCACTAAACATTACGCGAAATAGACTGGGATAACAAACCCGACCCTAATCGTGACGTCACGTCCGAGAAAACCTCCAATTAAAATATTGATGAACGTGAGAGCGTGGTCACATTGCCCGCGACATCTGTGATCGTTAATTTTTTACTAACGCAAATCGATCTGCCGGTATATACCTGAAAGGGTCGCGTTTAACATTCTGCGGTTTAAATCGCGTTATTTAACCCCGTCGTGATAAATCGAAGGGGTGGCCCCCCCCCGATATCGAACCCAAATGGAAAATTTAACTTGCTTTCGCTCGGCGATTTCGTCCTGATGCGCGTTAACGTTCATAAACATTGTTTAAAACGATATTACTGGATTTAGCCACCGTCTGTGTCAGCAATTAGGGCAAAAACCTTTAAACGATTTACTTAATTGTTTGAAAATCGTTAGAAATCCGTAATAACGCAAACGGGGCGTAATTTAGGGGATTTGTCGTGCTAATTTCATGGTACAAACGCGTATTGTTTAGTGCCAAACGGGTTCCTAAATGTTTTAAAATGTAATACTAAGCTGCGCTAATGCATGAATGAAGATATTAACTTTCCATTTTGTCAATGAATATTATATACCCATTATAAAGCCTGAAGACGTTATACAATTTTTCATGAAAATATTTTGGCTTGTCGGCTACCAAATAGCAAGAAAAATGGCAGCTTGAAGTTGCGCGTGAACTTTTTTTTTATTGATAACAACAAAGTAAATTTTCATTACAATAATGTATGCCGCAGTATTTTAAAACAGTTCACATTACAATAACTTATTATACAGCAAAACATTAGTCAAGTACGGTTAATTTGAAACTGCATTTTGTCCGGTAAAGCCTGGAAGATACGCTGCAATTTTTACATCTATTTATGCATGTATTTTTCGCAGATTATTTTGGTAGAATTCTGTTTTTAAAGGGTGTTTTTAAAATAAACGATCCTTTTTAGCGTTTGTTACTGTTAAATTGCTAAAATTTAGGCAAAAATATTTTCGCCACGTCTATAATTACTTTAATATTAATTGATATTTTCTCCTTGGATTTTTCCTGTGCGATATCTAGTATCTCATAAAGTCATATTTAGAGAAGAGTCATCTTTCGGGATTTCGACTTTATTTACACTTTTCGTGGAGTAAAAATGCATGTAGAAAATGCATCGTGTCAACCGGGCGCAACGTAGCTTTACGCAGGACACATTGAACAATCTATAAGAATACCAAAGTAAATAAAACCTTGTTTTTTTGGTGCCATATCAATCCTAACAATAAATTAACTATAAATAATACAATTATAAATAAAATACTTAACTAATTATTTGTTAAAACTACATTTTTATATTAAGGAAGTTTTAAGATTACATGGAAGTAGTCAAACACCAAGAGTTTGTCTAATATCGGCTGGTATATATTATGCAGTGATTTATTTGTTGATATGTTTGTAGTATGTAGTTTATTACTATCCCAAGTATTATAATCCTACAATTCACTATTTACTTTTAATTCCTTGTTACATTTAAGTGTGGAATATAAAATTTCAGTTTCAATTAAATGACTCACCTTATGCGATGCAGTGACGGTCGTGAACGCAACAAAAATTACTATTTACTATTTGCAGGTTTAATCTAAACGGAAAATGTAAAAAAAAAGTAAAAATCATTTAGTCTCTCTTTTCTAAGCGAAAAAATGTTGAAGAAGCAACTGTACCTGCGATGCGGGCTTGGGCTAATGTTTAACAACGTCGACAAGCTTATCAAGAAAATTCCAATAACTTCAGAAGAAATGGGAACTTGGGATAATACAAGCGACTTTTACAGCAGTTATAAATTAAAAAATTGGTGAAAGTTCTTTGAGCGTATGACATGACATGCGTTCATGTGGCAGTTTGTTGAAATTATTATTTTTTTTAATTCATTAAGTTCTTCATAATAACGAGGATTTACTACCCATAAAAAGTACATTAGGAATTTTAGAAATTGCAATAAGTTTTAAGGAGTTTTTTTATTAAAGCATTATGACATATAGTTTATTATAATTAATAGTTTTCCGGTTTTATTTATCTGACTCTTCCGAAGAAGAATGTTCAATTTTATTTAGTAATTGCAATTACTCATTATACAACACTAAGTCATCGTTACTTTATATCTTTGTCTATGTTAAAGTTCTTGTACGTTTCCGGTCAGTTTTGGAGCATTCACTTTTAATAAATCGTTTTATATTATTATTAGACTATAATAAATTTCATCCTTACCGCATTGTAGGTTTAATAAAAATTGTTAGATTATTAAAATCATAATTAAGTTTTTTAATTAATTTTTGGCTATATTTTTTCATTGATCTGTTTCGAATTATGAATTAGTTCGTCTATAATGTAAAGCACTGACAATACTTTTGCAACTTTTTTGCTTAAATATATGCAATTAATATACTTTTTTTCTAAATTTAAAACGTATGTAATGCGACAACATTTTTGACATTTTTGTATTTTTTATTAATGGAAAGCCACCCAAATAATGATGAATAAGTAGTCTCGTATTAAAATGTTGATTATTTCTAAATTTAAGGCACCTGTGAATAAAAAACATGAACCTATTATTAAAATTAAAAAGCGTTCCATAAATGAGTGACGCGATATTGCCGACGGCGAATGCACGTTTCGTTGCTTATTAATGTTTTTTTTGCGCGACATTCAACTGAAATTGACGGTTAATCGTTTAATTTAATAATTAATTCAAATTAATAATTTTTCGGAACCCGATACCCAATTTAACGTCAGAGTGTCGTCAACGTTCGGCGAAATATTTTTTTTTTGATCGACGAGCAATTAACTTTTGTCCATTCTTAATTGTTATTGAATATAATTCGCGTTCCGGTGACGAATGTATTATTGATCTGAAATTTTATTGACGATGTTTTCGATAATTGCAAGTTCCAATTACGTCTGAGCCGGAATATCTTCAGAAAATCGGATTCAATCGAATCATTTATAATTTAATTTTTAAAATTGGATGAAAACTATTTTTTATTTGTTTATATGTTAATACAAATATTACAGCGTTATTTATTGATTATTTGCGATCAATTGATATGGGCGATTCTATTTTAACTGCGATTTTTTATGTCTTGTATTGTTTGTTCTCATTGATGTTTAATTAATAATCTATTAATGAAATTGTTGTATTAATTAGATGATGATGAACATATTCGATCATATTTTTTGTATAATATAATTTGTTATTCCGAGACTATCCATTACCTAAATATCAATACGGTGTCACACCCATTCCTAAAATTTATCTATAACTTCTTAATTTTTTTTTGTCGCAAAAATTAAATTAATGACATCATAAATTGTTATTTCGAATTTTTGAATTTGAAGTTATGTGACTCGAACGCCATCTATCTTGACATTTATGAAAAGTCTAGTAAATCATGTTGAGTGTTGATTACGAACATGGAGTTGATGAGACAGT